AGTACCTATCCAGATACTAGATGACAGGGGCAGTTCTACCCGGCTCTACAGAGTCATGAGTTGTTAAAATTAATGAATAAATACAGATACTAGATTATAGAACTCAGTTCACATTAGTTGAGGGATTAATCTCTGACTGCCAAATATAGCCACTGGAAGATATTGGATGACTAAGCTCTTTGCTAGTTCACATAGTCCCTTTCCTTTAACTACCTGTATTCGACAACTGCTTAGCAATCGTATACCCAGTGGGAGCTTGGTACTAAGCAGTGCCATGAAGAGATATGCAGGGTTGTAAAAGAGATTGAATACTTATTCTTCAATAATTCAGGAAAGAGTTATTGAGGGCCCAGTCAGCCAGGGACTTTGCAAGGTGCTCTTAGAAAGAGTGAGATTAAGTAGACACAAAGCTTTCCCACAAAAAGCTTATAGTTTAGAAGGAAAAGCAAAGGGTTCACAGAAGTAACTATGAGGCCATGTAAAATGTAGAAAGTTTCGTAAAGGAGAGCATTAAATATGGTTATATGCTGGGCATGGACTGTGGATGAGGAAGGGCAGTCTTGAAGGAGGGAAGGGCATAGGAAAAGGCATGTAGGACTGAAATCCAAGATCAGAGGAAGGAGGTGTATTAGAGTTTAAATTCTGAGCACCTGGTTTGCAGAAGGCTCTGGATGACAGTGAAAGCCCAAAATCCAGAGTTCCTGTGTAGATTAAGCTTCCCCTCTGACAATTGACTAGGGATGTGAACAGTCTAGTCTTCAGACAGAGTACATTGGAAAGTAGATTCCTGCAGATACAGTTAGTGTGTTAGTCTGGGTAGACTAGAGAAACAAATTCATGGTCATGCATATGTGTACAGGAAAGAGCTTTATATACAAGAGCAGCTGAATATTGAGATAACATCCTAGCCCAGCCGAGGTCAAGTCCAGAAGTCCAATATTAGCCCATACATCCAATACTTGTCTATAAAGTCCTCTTCAGACTCACGAAACACATGTAATGATGTAAAATGCAGGAAGATAACAGGCCAGTGGGTGCAAAGTCTTGTGGATCCAGTGGTGGCAGAAGCAGCTCAGCATTGGCAGGGGTCTCTACGTGGCTCCTCCAGTTCCCTCAGCATGGGGACTATCAGTGTAGTGCCAGGTGTCTTGTCAGTAGAGTGTCTCTCAGGGAGTGAGCAGAACGAGAGCAAGAGAGAGCGAGAGAGCGAGACCGAGAGAGAGTATTCAGAGAATTCTCAGGAAAAGGCCATGCCCACACAGAGGTCTCATTGGCTATGACCCGATTGACAGACTAGACTCCACCCCTTTACTCTTAATCCTCTCAAGTCCCAATTGACACCAGCTTATGTAACTACCACAGTTAGGCAAATGCTTGCCATGTTACCATTTGTGTTCCCTTTGGACCACTGTTAACTTGTTATAGTTTTTATTATTTTCTCCTTTCCTTTGGATTGCAGATTTTCTGTGTTTTATTTTATTGTTGTTTGTATAATTTTCTTTATATGAACTCCAGGATAGATACATCTATGGGGACAGTAACTAGATGACTAATTTCCTAGGGCTATGACAAGGAAGGTTGGGAGGAAATGGGGAGCTAATAATTATGGGTGCAAGAATGAAAAAATGTTCTAAAATTAATTGTGATGATGATTTCACAACTCTTTTTCATGTAATTAAGTTGTATGGTAGGTGAATTATAAGTCACTATAACTGTAAAGAAAAGGAAACAAAGAAAAGGCACACAAGAAGGAATGTGTTATTGCTAGTCAGCGGGGGATAAATTCCTAAATATGCTTGTAGTTTTTCAGGTACATAGGTGTATTTGATACATGACAATAGAAGAAGGGGTCAAGATGACTTGGGTCCAGCGTTTGGAGGACTTTATATGCTCATGCAAAGGCATTTTGACATTATTTGTTGGCCATGAGAAGATTTGGAAGGATTTTGGGCAGCACAATTTCATGGCTTGGTTGATACTTTGGAGGGAGAACTTTGAGGATTGATTGGAAAATGGAGAATGGAAGTCAGAAAATCTATTAGAATGCTGTTCCAATAGTCCCCTGATGCGTTTCTCTCTTGGAACTTATCCACCTCTGTTGCCAAGACTTAGATATTATTTCCTTTACCCTATGCTATCAGGAATTAGAAAGATTGGCACAGAGCTTCAAACGTTGTGACTTTCTTTAAAAAATGTCCTTAGCCTCCCCTCTTCCACCACCATCATCAGTTGGGCATCAGCTTTATCCTGTCAAATACAGAGATACCATTCGCTGGAGGTGAAAGGCTCATTTTCTCACCTCTCCCCACCTCCGCTCCCCTCCCCCAATATACCCACCACTCCAAAGCTTTTGCTGAAGTCGCCACTTGGCCCCATGAGTCCTTGTCCTTTGTTCACTCAGAAGTTCAGAGCCTTCGCTAAGAGCTGCTGTTGGACCATCTGGCAAACTGTGAATTTTTTAGTAGCCTGGATGTTTGTGAGAAAGCAGAAAATCTAAGGCTAGATTCCAAACAATTTCTAAGTAATTCTTCACAAGAGAGGGAGCAAAACCCAAGTCAATTCACCATTACCTTTCAAGGGCTTGTCTAGACCTGCTAGACCAATTCCTAGTGCGGGTCAGAGGGCCAACTGGATGGGTCAGTCTATTCAGAATCTAATGGGATGCCTCCAACTTCGTCCTTATAAAATGGAGTGATATGACTCAACTGATTTGCCAGGAAGTTGCTAAGTCAAGGACAGTAGGAAATAAGGGTGTGCTTGTGGGGAAGATCTCTCTTTCCAAATGTTGTCTAGCGGGGTTTGGAGGAACAAAGGACCTGGAGGTTCAGAACATGACTGTGTGTTCACCCAAAGAGGACCTTCTAGAACTCCAGCTGTTTCCTTTATGTTCTATTTGGGTTGACTGGCCTGGATGTTTTGGGTGTTTTTTGGGTGGTGGTAGTGGTGGTGTCAATTTATGATTGGGAAACCAGGCTCCCATATCCTAAGGATAAGAGAGAAAATGTCTCTAAGGATGATTTTCAGCTTTAGGGTTCTCCCCACTGAGCAGGCTATTTGTTTGTTGATTGAGATCTTTGAAAAACTTTTTCATTGTTGCGCTGTCTTTCATATTGGCCTGGTATTGCATTTGGGGAGGTACAGCTGATCAGACAGGGAAGTAGCTGAGAGACTAGGTGACTTGGAGCATGTTAGTCAGCCCAGATCTACTTCTACAAGGAGGCAGCATTTCACCAGTCTGGACTCTGGGTGATTAATTAAATGATGGTCCTGTGGGAAGTTTTGATTCTAAGCCCAAAGTTTTCATTGAAGGGAAACTGCCCCCAGCCCCTTCAAGACACCAGGGAGACAGAGCTGGAGAGAAACACTGCAGCTCCTCCCAAGCAACTGGAACTTTGGAGAAGGGAGAGAGGGAGGAATTCCTGATCCCACTGAGATGATGGCAGGAACTGAGGCATTTGCAGGGATGGAACCCATAGATTAAGGCGAGCACCTTGGGGTGAAACACTTCTAATTTTGAAGGCTCACAACAGGCCAGGACTTGTAAAAGAAACAAAAAAACCCACAGCATGGAGGCAAATTCAAGGAACAGGACTTCGTACCTCTGAAAACTGTTGCTCATCCTTCACCCCTCAGCAAAACCCAGGAAGGGTCAGAGTAGAGAGCAGTAGGGAGCTTTTGTACACAATTTTGCAGGGCATTCCCAAATGCCACAGCGGCTGCAGTGCTTTTATTGTGAATAAGGTGGAAAGATTAAAAAGCAGAGCATCAGTTTTACGTTGGGCCACCCTGCCCATTCTGATTCAAATCCTGCAGGGTCACCCCTCAGTGCACCAGCACCCATCCCGCTTGCTCCCGGTGTTTCCTGTTTCCACGCCTCCTCCTTTCCTACCCTGATGAATGTAGTCCTGGGGTAAATGCTGCCCTTTGGATCGGAGACGATTGAGTCCATCCCAGATATGAAGGGTGACTAAAGGCCACCGCATCAGGGGTTCGAGGGGACTCGGGACATTTTCCTGATTCTTGAAAGCTACACACATCTCCTGCATTTTAGCAACATACTGGGCTTGTCACCCAAGATTTCAGGTGAGAAACCCTGACAAGAGCAACTGCTGAAAGGGCTGCAGCAGGTCAGAGACTCAGCTGGGGTTGGAGCTCAGGTCTGTATCTCCTAGGGCAAAGATGAGGTGTCAGTGTGAGGTGCGAGACAGGAGAGAGGAGGGCGCTCAGGTAGAATTTGCTGAGAGAACCGCAGAGCTTCTAGCTAGAATGCAAGTCAAGAGGACTCACCATGCTCTGAGCTCTGCACCGTAGGTTAAACTGATGACATTTCACTTCCCTCTCATCAGTCACTTTGAGTGAAGCCGGTTTCTTCTGTGCTAAAGGCTCGTTCTTACTTCCAAAGGCATCGTGATGCACACAGGACACCGCGGGCTGAGAACTTAGAGCGGCCATTATTCTTGAGGCACAAACGACACGAGTCAGAACTAGGCTTGAGCCCCTCGCTAGTCATCCGTTCGCTCGCTTGCTCTTCATTCATTTATTTGTCCCTTCCCTCTCTTAGAATCTAGAGCTGCCAGATTAATTCATTCACTATGTCATTCATTCACCCATGCACTTCCTCCCTCACTCTGAAACAGAACCATAGGCAACACAGTTCAATTTGGATATCAGATAGGCACGAATGACTTCTTTTTTTAGTTTAAGTATGTCCCCGTCAAATTTGAATGTCTGCTAAAGTAATGAATACATTTTTTCCATGTCAGCATGGCCCCGGTGGTATCTGGGATATATACCGACTATACATGTACTGGTCACTTGTCTGAAATTCAAGTGGTACTGCCTCTCCTGTGTTCCACCCAGCAGCCCTGCCTGGATCCCAGCTTCTCCTCTGAAGGACAGGAAAGTCGAGGCTGCCTCACTGCACTGCCTCACAGGCGGGTGAGAGATGATGTATTGGAAAGTGCCCTGTGCTGTGAATGACCCCAAAGACATCAGCACAGGCTACTGTGTCTCTGCACGAATGGTTTTCTTTTGTGTGGGGCTTTTGATCTCTGCCTCCTGGTTGGTGCAGAAGTTGAGTCACACTTAGGAGAGTGATTTAAGAGGCTGATAGGTAAGTGGAACGCATTATGAGGAACTATTGACATTTGCTGTCTACCCCCCTTCTTTGTCAGCCTTTCCTTCCCCAGTCTCCCTTCTCCACGCTCGATCTCTCCTCCTTTCCTCCTTTTTTGTCACCTCACAGTCCCTTGGTCTCATGCTCTGTCTAGACCCTGCTTTATGGACTTGCCACCTCCTCAGGATTGCTTTTGCTTAGTGTCCACTGTCCATCTCCTGTTCACTTTCCTTCTGACTTCCCTAAAAGCCTTTGTTCAGCTTGCCCTGAGCCTCTTCCTTCAGCTCTTAAAACATGTGGGATTGTTTAGGCCGGAGTGATAAATTGCACCGAGTTAAAGGTAAAGGAGAAGCTCCACTCTCCCTGTTTGGTAGTGGCTGATGTTTGAATCGGAGCCAGACAGGACTTCTCTTTAACTCTCGCAGTCCACTTGATGCTTGCCCAAGTAAATGTAGAGCGGCGAATGCATTTTATCATCCAGATGTTGAGTCCATCACAAGAAAAAGAATCACCATTAAGAAAGAGCTATCTGGATAATTTCATGTATCTCAAAGAAAACTGAACTTAAAAAAATTTTTTTAATGCTATTTAGATAGAGCCTAGACAGAGAAGGGAATGGCAGCTTTACACATGATCCTTCCTCCGACGCCCCCCTTGTATCACCACCCT